TTCCCCCCAAATTTGTTTCTCACCAAGTCTTTTGTTGAGTGTTTAAGTCTTCCACAAACTCAGAGCCTTGCATGTTGGAAGAGGATGCTGCGATTTGTTCAAGAATGCAAATATTCTGAACACAGCTGGACTATACGAATGGGGAAGATAGTCATTTTACCTTACTTTGTGGGCACACTTCCTGGTGTGCTCCCCCAGCCCAGTGCTCAGGGGCCACTCCTGGTTCTGCGAGGGGGCCCTGTGGTGTTGAGGATTGAACTTGGGGCTGCTCCGTGCAGAGCGTGAGCTCCAGCCCGCAGGTGATGATATTCTGTTATGTGAATTTTACTGGAAGTGTGCCAGTCTTTTGAAAATTCAGAACTTCCCCAACCAACTCCCAACAGCATCTGTTGTGTCAGCTACAGAGGTCTGCTCTGGTGAACGGCCCCTCTGGCCTCTCTCCGCCTGGTGGTGGTGTTTGGGGTTTTAGGGGGATGGACCATACCTAGCGATGCTCTGGGCTGACCCCTGGATCTGGACTCAGGAATCACTCGGCGGGACTTGGGGGACCATGGGATGCTGGGGATTGAACCTGGGTTGGTTTCATGCAAAGCAAGCACCCTCCCCGCTGTACTATGGCTCCAGCCCCCATTCCTCCCCGCCCCCCCCTCCCGGGGTCCATCTGTGTGACGGAGCTGAGGCTTCCGTGGGGTCATACATGTGGGGCTTATTAAGAAATGAGGAGAGCAAAATTATTTCAGACACATGACATTTGTCACACGGCCTGTGATAGATTCCAGATGTCACATCTCTCTGAGGACAGTCGGAAGAAATGACAAGCCTGTTTGTGACTTTTCAGTGCTCCACTTAGCCTCAAAATGCAATCGCACCCCCAGATCAGTACCCTGACAGAATTTTTTTTTTAACTCAGGGATTCGGGGTGGGGGGACAATGCTCAGAATCTCTCCTGGCTGTGTCCAGGGACCCTCTGAGGTGCTGGTCAGCCATGTGTGAGGCCCCTTCCCAGGCCCCTTCTCGCCCGGCCACCCTCCCACCAGGGGTGAGCAGCTCTGGCAGGAGCTGGTGATCTGGTGACGTGCACATGCTCCCCCTAAGCTTCTGACCTTGAGGAGGGACCCCCACACCCCACGGCAGCCCCACACTGCCCTTCCTGCCTCAATCACTAGATGGTCATTAAAAAAAGGGGGGGAGGGCCGGAGCGATAGTACAGTGAAGAGGGCATTTGCCTTGCACACAGCCGACACGAGTTCAATTCCCGGCATCCCATATGGTCCCCTGAGCACCGCCAGGAGTGATTCCTGAGTGCAGAGCCAGGAGGAAGCCCTGAGCATCGCTGGGTGTGACCCAAAAAGCAAAATAATAAGAAGAAATAAAAAATTTTAAAAGAGGGGTAAATTCACAAGGATGGGAACACCTGAGGCTGTTCCCCCCAGGTAAGAGAAGCTCCACCCAACATTTGCAAAGAGACAGACACCCCAGGGTCTATACTGGGGGTGTGGGATCAGGGGCATGAGATCTGGGGAGAGGGTCTGGGGTCTTGCTCTGCACCCTGGGCCCAGCCCAGCACAGCCTCTGCACACTGAGGAAGCGCCCTGCTGCCCATCCTAAGGCCAGATCTGTCTTTGACCAAGTACAGGCTTGGCCCAGCAGGCGCTGGAGGGCAGGGGTGAGACCCAGGGCCAGGGCTGAATCATCCCCCTCACTCAGGCCTGGCCCGGAGGCCAGCAGTGGGAGGGTATGGGGGTCCTGCCACCCACCAGGACCAACTGGTCACTCAGACTCTCGGGCAGCTTCCTGTCAGGGGCCCAAGGGGTGTGGGGAGGGTGTACCGGCCTGAGAGAAGCCCCCAGCATGGAAAATCAACAGGAGAAAAGAATGCAGGACAAAGAACAGGAGAAAATGTGAAAACTTGTTTTGAAAACAATAAAAGCCCCGAGGCTTTCTTAGAGTAACGGATAGTGCCAGATCTGGGACTGAAACAAATAAAACGTGGCAGGAAGAACTTGATGTCCGAATCCCCGGCACTGCATTGGGTCCCCTGATCCCTGCCAGGAGGGAGCCCTGAATGTCTGGGGATGTGGAGGAGGAGGAGAAGAGGAGGAGGAGGAGGAGGAGGAGGAGGAGGAGGAGGAGGAGGAGGAAGAGGGGGAGAGGAGGAGGGGGAGAGGAGAGGAGGAGGAAGAAGAAGAAGAAGAAGAAGAAGAGGAGGAGGAGGAGGAGGAAGAGGAGAAAGAGGAGGAGAAGAGAGGAGAGGAGAGGAGGAGGAGGAGGAAGAAGAAGAAGAGGAGGAGGAGGAGGAAGAGGAGGAGGAAGAGGAGAGGAGAGGAGAGGAGGGGAGGAAGAGGAGGAGAAAGAGGAGGAGGAAGAGGAGAGGAGAGGAGAGGAGAGGAGGAGGAGGAGGAAGAAGAAGAGGAGGAAGAGGAGGAGGAAGAGGAGGAGAGAGGAGAGGAGAGGAGAGGAGGAGGAGGAGGAAGAGGAGGAGAAAGAGGAGGAGGAGAGAGGAGAGGAGAGGAGAGGAGGAGGAGGAGGAAGAGGAGGAGAAAGAGGAGGAGAAAGGAGGAGAAAGAGGAGGAGGAGAGAGGAGAGGAGAGGAGGAGGAGGAAGAGGAGGAGAAAGAGGAGGAGGAGGAGGAAGAGGAGGAGGAAGAGGAGAAGAAAGAGGAGGAGGAAGAGGAGAGGAGAGGAGAGGAGAGGAGGAGGAGGAGGAAGAAGAAGAAGAGGAGGAAGAGGAGGAGGAAGAGGAGGAGAGAGGAGGAGGAGAGAGGAAGAGGAGGAGGAGGGAAGAAGCAGAAGAAGAAGGAGGAGGAGGAGGAGGAGGAGGAGGAGGAGAAGAAGAAGAAGAAGAAGAAGAAAGAAAAGACTTACCGTGCATAGCATGGCCCAGGTTCTACCCCGTATTGTCCTCTGAGTATTGCTAGGCATGATCCCTGAGTGCAGAGCGGGTGTGGCCCCCAAACCAAAATAAATTTTGAAATAAAGAATAATGGGGATTCAAGAGATAGGGCTGACCCTTGTGCCACATACGGTGACCTGAGCACTGCTAAGAGAGACCCCCGAGCACAGAGCCAAGAAAAACAGCCCCTGAACACCACGAGTTACGGCCACCTTCCCCCCACCCGACTCCCCATGCCTGCCATATGTCAGGCTCTGGATGTGATCCCCAGATTCACCAACAAAATGAATAAGTAAATAAAAGACTGTAACAAACTTAAAAGAGGGCCGGGGTGGTCCAACAGATGAGACACTTGTCTTCCATGCAGCTGAGGTGGCCGCAACCCTGGTTCAAATCCCCTGCACCACCCACTTAGCCCTGGGCACCGGCAGGGCTCACTCCCGAGCACAGAGACAGGAATGGCCCCTGAGCACCAGGGCAAGAGCCTCCCCTCAATAAGCAGCCTCACGATTCAGGGGCTTCCACCTCGCAGGTTGTAGGACCCACCGATGGGCACACACAGGGTACAGGCCCCCCCCCCAGTTCCCGCCCCTCTCCCTGCTTCCGGGAACATCTCTGCTGAGCAGGGGAAGCTTTGGCCAAGGGGAACCCCAACACCGCACTCTGTACCGAGCGGGTGATCCTGACGGGGAGATCCTGGCAAACACGTGGCTGTGGGTGGGGCGGGGTGGGCTGTCCTGGCCCAACTCCGGCACCCACAGTGCAGTTGGGGCTCCCAGGGCGCCCCTGTGGGGGAGGCCCACCCAGAAGTGCCTGGAGGCAAAACTGCCCTCCAAGCTGGCAGTGGGGCTGCACCCCCAGGGGGTGTGGGCAGGTTGGGAGTCAGCACGGGGACCAGTAGGTGTCCTGGGGGCTGGGACCTCTTGGGCTATGGGTGTGATGGGTGGTGGGGAAGGGCTTGGGGGAAGCCTTTAGCCCGCAGGATTTCATTTCCAGAGGCACTGGGTCTATACCTCAGGGGAGCAGCACAGCCAAGGCTGGTGGAGGCACGTGGCTGGGTGAGGCGCATTAGTATGGCCAGACATGCAGTCCTGGTGGGCTTCCTGTAGGAGGCTGTGAGGAACTGGAAACATCAGGGATGGGCTGGGGGGTGCACTTTCAGAAGCCCCCTGCCGACACTGGAGTGGGGGCGAGTGGCCGTGAGAGGTGACAAGAGGGATTTCAGAACTGGGGGAAGGGGAGCCCCCACCTCGATTTTCTTCTTCTAAAGCCCAAGTGGGCCCTGGCAGTCCCCAGAGGCCCCTGACAGTCTGGTGCACCTGATACTGGGGGTCCCCACCCCATGGGCTGTTGCAGGCCTTTCTTCCAGAGGTGCGCGGAGGCCTGGCGCTGCCTCGCAATCCAGAAGATTCCCCTCCCCGCCACCAGTTTTGGGGCACTGGGGATCGAACCCAGGGCCTTACATGCACCACACATGCTCTGCCACTGAGGCACCTTCAGGCCAGTTTACAAGCAGGCCCTGTCCAGGCTTTGGGTCACAACCCCCGTCTCAGCCGGGTCTCACAGGCTCCTGGGACGCAGACGGACAGCAGCTGGGGCCAACCCTGGCTCTGAGGGAAGAAATGCCCCGCCCCAATACATGCGGGGCCTGAAAATGGGGCTCATTAGGTCATGCTGAGGCTCTCTCTGCAGACACCCCTTTCTGGGGCGTGACGAGGGAGAGCACCAGAAGTGATTTCTGAGTGTCCCCATCAGGCTGGCTGAGCTTGGTAAAGAATCCTCAGCTTGCAAGGTCCAGGCTTGTCCCAAGATGCCCACGGCGGGATGGGGTGTGGGCGGGGGGCGCCAACTGCCAGGCCTGCAGCCTGGGGACCACCGAGCAGCCCATCCCTGCCTCCTTCCCAACACAAACGGAGGGTCCCTGAGGCCCAGTGACCGACCCAAGGCCACACAGGGAGCCCGGCAGAGCAGGCCCCACGCCAAGCCCTTTCTCTGGCCAGGGCCCCAATTGACCAGGGGCAGAGCACCCTGCAGGGACAGTCGCGGTCAGCTGTGGCCCTGTGGGTAGCTCTGGGCTCTGGCAGGAGAATCACGCAGGGCACCATCACTCATTGGAGCAATCAGTTTAATGATTTAGGAATGTGTCATTCTGGCTCTGCTTCGCTCTGGAAAGGCAACTTGACCATGTTTTAAAAAATAGATTTGATATAAAGATTTATATATTCATAAATAGGTAACGTGAAAAATTCCCCAATGCAAATGGCATCGCTGGGCTGCACCCCCCCCTCAACAGTCCAGGCCAACAGGGCCCCCCAGACTCCGAGCCGGGTCCCTCCACAGCCCTCCTGGGGAGAGAGTAACTGAATTCAATATGAATTAGGAGCTCCCTCCTGCCCCCTGCCCGCAGGAGCTGGGCGCCCTGGGCCACCCCAGCGCGCACCCGTCTTCCCCTTGTTGCTGGACCCTGGGTGGGGAGATGGGGGTCCCGGGGCACAGCGGCCCCTGTGCTTGTGCCCACCCTTGGGCTTTTCATAGAATCAAAGGCAGAAACTCAACCGTTCCCTGGGCCCCGGGCCTGATCACCACGAGCTCGGCTCTGGGAAGGGGATGGGCCTCTCCCATGACTCTTCAGGACAGGATCTGGGTCCCTATGGCTCGTGGGTAAGGTCTAGAGGGGATGAGGCTCCGGCCTGCTGGGTCCCCCCAGGGGGCCGCATCCAGCATCAGAGTAGGGGCTGGCAGGAGGCGGCAGGCCAGGCCAGACCAGGGTCCCCTCCGGTCAGAGGCAGTGATGCCAGCTGGTCACTGAGCACTGAGTGACTGAGTAAAAGGGGGGTCGGGAGAGAGGGGGTGCTGGGGAAGGGGGGCATAGTCGGAGAGCTATCGCTGGGATTGAGGAATGACAGCAGCCCAAGGACTGGGGTCACAGACAGGTGAAACACGCAGTGGGACAGGCCCAGGATGGTCACGCAGGCCTACCGTGGACAGCGCGGGCCAGGGATCAAAGTCTGCAAGGAACCCAGGGAGGGATGGGGCAACTCTGACAGGGACCCCCAGTGTGACAGGCTGGGATGACCTGGGTCTCCCAGTGACGCCCAGGTAGGTTGCCTGGGCATGGAGGGTGGCACACACCAGGGCTCATGCCCCCAGCCTGGGACTGTGGGAGGGAGGACGTGGCGCATCCTTGGTGGCTGGTGCACCCAGGGGCTGGGCCATCTCCCCTGCCTCCTGGAAGGGCTTCGGGTCTCTGTGGACTAGGGGCGTATCTCAATGGCCAAGGGGACAAAGAGTGGGCCAGGGGCCTCCTCAGCCCTAAGGCACGGGCTTCCCAGACTGGGGTGGGAGGGACAGGTCGGAAGGAGGGGTCACTCTGTGCTTGGCCAGAAACCGGGATGTAGCCAATCCTGGTGTCCAGGGCTCAGCCTGGGTGCAGGCTCTGGTGTTCCCCACCAGGGTGGGTGCACGGGCTGTTCTTCTCACCTGGCCCTCAGGGGAAAGGTCAGCTTGGCCCAAAGAGCCCCTGGAAGATGGGCTGAGGGCTTCAGGACTCCACCCTGGGCCAGACCGGGGCCCCACTCCAGCGTGACCGTACCTCCAAGCTCAGGAAACAGCCCGGCATGGGCATGGCGGGGGAGGGGGGGTGCTGAGGAGAAAATCCAACACCCACCCGCTGGGGCCCACAGTGGTCCTCATCCCCAGAACAGAACCCCACTCCCGGCTCTGGGCGCCCTCCTGCTCCGTCTCAGGGGGCCCTGCCCTGGGGACCGGAAGAGCCCTGTGCATAGAATGGAGGGTCTGGGCCGTGATGCTTGGAAAGTGAGGCAAGAGGCTGTGGAGCCGGGGCCCTTCCCGCGTGGCCTGGCCCCTGCCTTGAGTCTTCTTGGGGACCCCAAAGTGAGGGGCCTGAGGTGCTGGAGGGGCTGACACAGGGGGCCGGGGGTTGCTGGGGGAACACTCCTGCCTCCGTGAGCCCCATGACATCGGAATGGCAGGGTCTGGAGTGGGGGGAGGGGGTGGGGACCGCCAAGGACACTCCAAGCTGGACTGGGAATGGAGCGGGGCACTCAGGCCCCCCACCTGGCAGGAAGGGTCACTGTAGATTGTTGGAAGGGTGCCCTGGGAGCGTCTGGGGCACCAGCTTTTCCTCTGCCCGCCACGGCCCACCCTCTGCTCCTGCGTGCCCGCAGCCCGGGTTCTGAGAGCTGAGGAATGGGCTGGTTTTGCAACCTGAGAGGCCAAACTGTGGGCCCGCGGCCCGCTGACCGTCCCTGCTTGGCGGCAGGCCCTGACCCCACACTTGGGCCGAGGCAAAGAGAAGCCACACGGAAACTAGAAAACTCAAGAGGTGTCGCTAAGGTGGGGAGCCGGCCCCAGGGCGTCTGTGAGCTCAGACTGGCAGTGAAGAAGGAAGAGGCTCCTCTCCCGAAGGAGGCAGCGCTGCCCCGGGCTGTGCTCAGGACCCAGGGTGACTGGACGGCTCGCTCTGGCCCTGGAAAGTTCTGGAAAAGCCAGAGACGGCAGCCACGTGCCCGGGTGAGTGGTCACCTGTTGCCGCTGGAGCGCCATGGGGAACGTGGGACAGAGCCCTGCGGAGGGGGAGGCCGGCTCCTGGCCTCTCTCCCACTGCCCTCTAGGGGGGTATGAAATGTAAAGGACGCAGGGGCACAGCCGCCGGCGGGCAGGAGGGGCCAGTGGGCCTCCTGCCAGCGGCATCCTGCATCTTCCCAGAAGGGGAGCTGTCCATCAAGCACCCAGGCCGTGGGAAGGTTCATTCCATGACTTTATCCAGCGGCCCGAGTGGCGCAGGTGCGGGGTGGGGGGCTGGGCTTGGCAGGCCAGTGGGGGCAGGGGAGGGGGAGGCCCTGCCTGCCGGCCCCGCACCCGTCAGCACCCGCAGCCCCAGCTCTCGCTGATGTCCTTGCTGTCCAGCTGGATGTGGTCAGTGGTCTTCTCGCTGAGCAGAGGCCCGCCGTGCCGCATCACCAGCTCCGTGGCCACGCGCACGAAGGCCTCCTCCACGTTGCTCGAGTCCTTGGCCGACGTCTCGATGGCGCACAGGATGTCGTAGTGCTCTGCCAGGCTCTGCGCCTCGGCCAGCGGCACCTCCCGGAGCTCGCCCAGGTCCGACTTGTTCCCTGCGGGGAGAGGGGGCAGCTCAGGGAGGCAGCGGGAACCCCGCCAGCCCCTCCCGCCTGGTCCCGTCGGCTCCCGTTTGGGGAGGGGGGCCGGGAGTGGTCTTTTGAGAGGTTGGGGAGTAGCCCCGTGGCAGAGCTCAGGCCTCACGCGTGTGAGCCCTTGGGTTGAATCCTTGCAACAAAAAAAATACCTTTATTGTGTTAATACGCGTATTTATTTTTCTCCTGCTTATTTCTTTTAAATTTCCTTTTTTATTTTTTTTGGCTTTTTGGGTCACAACCTGTGATGCACAGGGGTTACTCCGGGCTCTGCGCTCAGGAATCACCCCTGGCGGTGCTCAGGGGACTCTATGGGATGCTGGGAATCAAACCTGGGTTGGCCGTGTGCAAGGCAAACACCCTACCCGCTGTGCTACTGCTCCAGCCCCCTAAATTTTTATTGTTAGTTTCAATTCTCTGTGAAACTGTGGTTTGGGTTCGTTTGCTCTTCAGAGAGCAAATGGTATCACTTGGCCTCACAGGGCCAGAGAGAGTACAGAGAGTAGGGCACTTGCCTGGCATGCGGCCGCCGTGGGTTCAATCCCTGATACCTCACTGTCAGGAGTGATCCCTGAGTGCAGAGCCAGGGGCAAGTTCTGAGCCCCTTTCTTTGATTCGATTTCTAGAATTCTTTCCTCTTTTTTGCTTCTGGGCAACACCAGCAGTGCTCAGGGATCACTCTTCTTAGCGGGGCGTGGGTGACCCCATGGGGTGCCAGCTATCAAACACAGATCAGTTACGTGCAAGGCAAGTGTCCTACCCACCGTGTTCTCTCTCAGCCCGAGAATTAAAAAAAATTTTTTTTCAAGTACATTGTACTATGCATAGGGAGAACTTTGTTATTTTTTAAGTAAGAGACACGTGCCTAAAAATATCCAAACTTTCTCTGGTTTTGTTTTTGTTTTGGGGCCACATCCAGCTGTGCCCAGGCCTCACCCCTGGCTCTGTGCTCAGGAGGAACTCCTGGCGATGCTCAGGGAACCAGATGGGGTGCCAGGGATTGAACCCGGGTCCTCTGCATACAAGACAAGCTCCTTACCTGCTGGACTATCTCTCCAGCTCTGCTTTATTTATTTATATATTTATTTATTATGTGGACAGGAGGGTGCTGGGTGACAACCCAGCTGTACTCTGAGGACCATATGCAGCACTGAGGACTGAACCAGGGTCAATCACATTCAAGGGAAGTGATTGACCAAACCCCGGTAACTAGTTCTCCGGCCGCTCTTTGCTAACTTTATTTTCTTTTTGAAATTTTATTTAGTCACTGTGAATTACAATGCTATTCATGGTTGAGTTTCAGGAATACGATGTTCCAACATCAATTCCTTCACCGGTGTCTTTGCTAAGTTTAAGTTGGCATTCTTCAAAATAAACAAATAGATAAAAATAAGTCAGCATTCCTCAATAATCAATCCACAGACCTGTGCTGATCTGCAGGTCTAAAGAGGTTGAGAACCGCCGGTTTACTGGTAACCTTGGCTGTAACTGCCAGTCTGTCACCAGTATGCAGGGTGGCACTTGGTGTGTACAAGGTTGAAGAACACGACTTTAAACGATGTGGCAGGGAGACAGAGCACGCAGGGCACTTGCCTTGCACACAGCTGACCCACCCTGGCATCCCATGTGGTCCCTGGGCACTGCCAGGAGTGATCCCTGAGTGCAGGGCCAGGAGGAAGGTCTGAGCACTGTCAGATGTGGCCCAGAATACATCAACCAAAATAAATAAATGATGCAGCAGGGGCTGAAGAGATAATACGGGGAGAGGGCACTCGCCTTGCATAGGGCCCACCTGGGCTCCGTTCCTGGCACTGCATATGCCTCCCTAACCTCCGGCACTGGCAGGAGTGATCCCTGAGCACAGAGCCAGAGGGAAGGCCTGAGCACTGACAGGTGTGGCCCCAAGCCCCAAAACGAGTAAGTGATGCACCAACCAATTTGAATGTATGAAACCTTCTTTAGATCCTGATCCCAACACACTGAAAAATAAAGAGGCACATGTGAACTTGTGAATCTGTGAACATGTGAACCAAGTCTGCCTGCAGATCAACTCCTTGATGATGCTGGAGTCACGGCAACAGTTAAGCCAGGAAAATGGCCTGACGCAGGCATAACTTTTAAGAACCGGGGTCTCTCGTGCTGGAATATTTACAGAAGAAACGGTCTGGTGTCGAGATTCATCTCAAGCACCCAAGTGAGGACGGGAGGCAGCAGAGGCGAAACTGGACCCAAGGACCCACTGGGTGAGGGCGGGGCCTGGGGTGCAGGGCACTGCTCTATTTTTGTGCGTGTGTGAAATGTTCTGGTTTCGTATGTGTCCTGGATAAAAGGGAAGTGGTCAGGCTGGGGAAGGGGAGCTCTGGCCGTGCAGGTGGAACGGAAACAAATCCCCGCCCCCACTCCTGACTCCATGCGCAGTCAGAGCGCACCCCATCTCATCAACCAGGTCCATGATGGGGCCAGGAGCCTGGGTCACACACAGGATGGCATCCCGGGCTGGGGCTGGGGAGTTCACAATGGGGAAAATGGAGAAATGAGCTCCTGGCAGGGCTGCAGAGACCTCAGCAAGCTGCAGGCAGGCTTCGCACGAAGGAGGCCGGTTGGTAGCCCAACACCCCAGGCTCCCCTAAGCACTGAGATGCGGCACCTGCGACTAGATGTGACCTCTAGATGTGACCCCAGCACCCCCCCCCCAAAAAAAAGAAAAAGAAATGACTATTTTTCTGAAGTGCTTCTGGGCGGTGTGAAAACAAGTCGCTGCGTTTTCAGCCTCAGGACTGCACCTGGACTCCACAGTCTGTGCTCACAGGGAGGCGGGGAATGACTCCCGCCTCCGAGGGTCAGCTCTTCCCCCTCGATGGGCAGAAGCCGGGGTTGGGAGGCTCAATGCTCGGACACGCGCCACCCCGGCCCCTTTCCCTGAGTCTGGGGCCGAATGGAACTTCTCTGAGACTTGCCTCCTGCAGAATGGGCCAGATCGTGCTCTGAGGTTCTGGTTTCAGCCTCGCCCAGCTCAGCCCCTCTTACGCCCCCACTGGCCTTTGCTTAGGAGCCGAGACGGAGACAGCCGGGGCCCGGGCCCCAGCCCGCACTCACCGATCAGCAGCTGTACTATGTTGGAGCCCGCGTACTTCCTCACGTCCTCGATCCAGTGGGGCACCGACAGGAACGAGTTCCTCTTGGTGATGTCATAGGCCAGGATGGCCCCGTTGGCACTGCGGTAGTAGCTCTGGGTGATGGTGCGAAAGCGTTCCTGGCCAGCCGTGTCCCAGATCTGCAGCTGCAGAAACAGGGGGCACCCCCTCCGTGAGCCCAGGGGTGCAGCTGGGCCCAGAGAGGACACGCTTGCAGAACCAGGCCCAAAGCATCACCGCCAGGGACCAGGCCGCCTTCTGCTCTCCCCGCCCCCGCCCTGGAATTACACAACAGGGGGTGGAGGCCGGACAGATCCTGCTGAGCCCCAGGGAAGCCATTCAGGGCCCAACCTGGAGGAGGAAAGGCAGATGCACAGGGCAAGTGGCCACCTTCCCCGGACCCTCGAATCCCCGGGAAAGGTGGTGAGGGGGCGAAGGATGCGCTTATCACTGCCACAGGCAGGCACTGGACCCGGCTTTCCTGCATGCCCCCCATACTCCCAAGGTCTCCTCTCCATACCCCAGAGGCACACACATAACATTGCAAGCAAGAGTCCAGGGCCAGAAAGTAAATACGGTGGGTATGTATGGAGCGATAGCACAGCGGTAGGACGTCTGCCTTGTGCACAGCGAGCCCAGCCGAGCCGGGTTCGATTCCTTCACCCCTCTCGGAGAGCCTGGCAAGTTACTGAGAGTATCTCGCCCGCACGGCAAAGCCTGGCAAGCTCCTCATGACATATTCAATATGCCAAACACAGAAACAACAAGTCTCACGATGGAGACGTTACTGGGCCCGCTCAAGCAAATCGATGAACAAAGGACTGTGACTGTGTGACCTATGTACGGAGAGTGCCTTGCGTGAGACTGGCTCTGATTAGATCCCACCTATGGTCCTGAGTCCCATGAAGTGTGATCCCAAGCACAGAGCCAGGAGTAAGCCCTGCGCACCATCAGGTGTGGGCCCCCCTGCCCCCAAACACAGAAAAAGGCCAAAGAAACAGAAAAGGGAAGACACAAAAGCATGAGGCCAAACTCCCAAACAACCCTCAGGACTTCCCGAGATGAAAGGGGATCCATCACACAGAAGAGCACTAGTGCTTAAAGTAGGGAAGCATGCACAAAGCAAAACCTTTGAAACTCAAAAATACATCACACTGGGGCTGGAGCGATAGCACAGCGGGTAGGGCGTTTGCCTTGCACGCGGCCGGCCCAGGTTCGATTCCCAGCATCCCATATGGTCCCCTCAGCACTGCCAGGAATAATTCCTGAGTGCAGAGCCAGCAGTAACCCCTCTGCAATGCCGGGTATGACCCAAAAAGAAAAAGAAAATAAAACACACACATGCACGAGGCGGGAAAAATGCAAAGAAAATTATAGAACTGATCTTGGCGTCCAATATTGGGATAAGAGTTTCAGGAAAGAGTAAAATCAAGGGGAGAAAAAGCAAAGAAATTCTTAAAGAAAATTCTCCATGGGTTGAAGAGATAGAACAGGGGTAGGGCACTTGCTGTGTCCACGGCCAACCCAAGCTTAAAACCCGGCACTACATACGGTCCCATCAGCACCACCAGGAGTGACCCCTGAGCACTGCCGGGGGATGCAAAAATTCAGAAAAGAAGAACTCTCCAGAAGGTTGGATGGAGGTATATCAAAGTAGATACAGGATTATAGTAAGTAGAGACACTGCATAATGAAGAGATAATGTATCCAAAAAAATAGAATGCTGGGGCCGGAGCGATAGCACAGCGGGTAGGGCGTTTGCCTTGCATGCGGCCGACCTGGGTTCAATCCCTAGCATCCCATATGGTCCCCCAAGCACCGCCAGGAGTAATTCCTGAGTGCTAAGCCAGGAGTGACCCCTGAGCATTGCTGGGTGTGACCCAAAAAGCAAAAAAATAAATAAATAATTCTGCCCTCCCGTTGTTCATCGATTTGCTCGAGCGGGCCCAGTAACGTCTCCATTGTGAGACTTCTTGTTACTGTGTTTGGCATATTGAACACTCTTGGTAGCTTGCCAGGATCTCCAAGAGGGGCAGAGGAATCGAACCCGGCTCGGCTGGGCTGGCTGCGCACAAGGCAAATGCCCTACCGCTGTGCTATCACTCCAGCCCTAAATAAATAAAATAAAATAAAATAAAATAGAATGCTACTGGGTAAACACCAAATAACAGTTTTCAATTTTCAGAACTGCCATCATTAAAGGGAGAGAGAAATCCACAAGTCCAGCTGGTGAATTTGGCACGTGTCTCTCAAGAACCAGCCACGTCAAGACAAAACAACCCGGGAAGGATCAAGGAGAGCTTAAGGCCTACGTGATCCCACTCACGGCTGTGCAAGGCCACACCCAACACTGCCAACAGCACTTTTCTCCAAGTGGCATGGAAGAGATGCAGGATGAAACCACAGGCTGGGCCATAAAGTGAGTCTCAACCAATTTCAAGAGCCTAGATGCTTCTAGAAGGTTCCACCAGAAACAGAAAGAAGAAAGCTCCGTGGGAAACTTCCTGAGGAAGAAGGAACTGAGAGCAAGCCTCTAAAAGAGTCACAGAGGCCATGGGCAGGGCGAGGGGGGAGGCCACAGAGAACCTGGAGGTGAGCTGGTGTCCAGCCGCAAACGGATACAACCAGACACGTCCCCCGGCCTGGAAGCCCCGGAGGAACGTGGGGTGCAAAGAAACAGCAGTATCGCGCACAGCCCTGCACCGCCAGCATGACTCACCCTCCTGCACTCTCTAGTCGTGCTAACAGTGCTCAGGAGCACCTCTGCCGAGTTGTCAGAGCCCAAGATCAAGAGGCCAACAACGCAGTCACAGACTCCTGACCTGGGGCTGAGGGCCAGCGTGGAAGTGATCAGGGAAACGAGACGAATTACTATAAAATGGATTTATGTAGGAACATGTTGAGTACAAACATTCTAGAAACAGTGTGATAGGGAGAAGAAGAAGAGAAAGGACAGGGACAGATGGTAGGAGGGGGTCAGAAAGAAGGGCCAGAGAGCCCCTGGCTGCAGCTGGACAAAGTGAGCCAGCGGTGCAGGAAGTGAAGCAGACATCGGTGAGACAAGTGCTCCGGGAGCAGAAAGAGCACATGCAAAGGCCCCGAGACAGAGACAGGGCAATCTTTTGTTTTGATCACAGTGAAAAGGTGAGGAGGAATAAGGGATGACAGAGGAGCATCAAGGGGTATTGATCAGGGACTGACTTACAAAACTTAAGAATCTGGGAGGGGCCTTCGAGCTGGAACAATGGTACAGTGGGGAGGGCACTTGCCTTACATGTGGCCAACCCGGGTTCGATCCCCAGCATCCCGAAGTGCCTCCCAGCACCACCAGGAGTAATTCCCAAATGCAGAGCCAGGAGGAACCCCTGTGCATCACTGGGTGTGCCCCCATGCAAAGAGGAAAAATGTGGGGGGCCAGTAGGTGACCCTGTGGCTGAAGTGTCGGCCTCGTGTGAAGCTGTGAGTTGGGTGCCCGGTGCTGCCCCTGCACTGACAGTCTCGACAGCTCAGCTCCGCGCGCCCCAGTGCCCTCACCTCTGCAGCAGCTGACGGCGCAGGCCCGGGGTGAGCAGAGGGAGCTCAAAGGGCTGAGCGTGAGTCTGGCATGTACAGGGCCTGGGTTCCATCCTCCACACGTGTGGACGCCTTAGCACCCTTGGGCCCTCAACATCACTAGGAAGGCCCAAAACGAGACAAAGGACAGGCTGAGTGGGGGAGAGGGCGGGGCCCAGGAGAGGCGCTGCGAAAGGGAACCAGCCTCTTCTCAGTACTCAACAGGCTGGCTGACGGCTCCTGTGCAAAGAAGCTCGACAGCAAAGTGGGTTATAAACAGTACACAATGGAAAATCCACAGGCTGGGTGTGGACATCCCCCGTCTGTTCTCTCTGTACTGAGCCCTCACCTGTTGCACCCCTTCTGGAATGTGGGGCATCCCACAGGGGAGGAGACAAACCAGAATTCCTATTGGAGTTACTGCAGACAGACAAGAAGTGGGACCCACCTGGGGCCAGAGTGACAGCACTGCAGGTCGCGTGCTGGCCTTGCACACAGCGCCCCAGGGTTCGAGCACCAGCACCCCATAGGGTCCCCTAAACCCGGCCAAGAGTGATGCCTGACATACCCCGAGTGATCCCCTGGCATTGCCTCGAAACCAAGAAAAATGCCCAGACAGAATTCAGGCAGACAGAGTGCCGGACATGGTGAAGGGACCAGGAGTGACGAGCCGGTCCCTGGGGAGGTCAGGGAAGGGGCCCCTAGGGTTGAGGTCTGAAGACAGGAGTGGATTTCAGTGCGAAGGCTGGAGAGGAGGGTGGGAGGTGGCGGGGAGCAGGGGTGTGTGGCGGCAGGAGGCACGGGCAGCGTGGGGCCAGCGGGGTGCTGGGGCATGCCCGGAGCCCAGTGAGAGACCAGGCACGAGTGCACACGCATGGTTGGCATGCGGCAGCCTGGCTTCTACCCGACACTGCAGGGTCCCCCGAACACTGGCGGAGATGGTGCCACCACCCGCTGTGCTCCCCAAACTAACGAGATGTGGGTGTCGCTTCCCCTGGGAGTGGGAAGCCTCTGGGGACGGTCTGGGCCGGGAGAAAGGGCTCAGACACAACCACCTCAATGCCACCTGTCGCACGTGGGCCATCCACCCTGGGCTCCCGGGGATTGCAGAGCCGCCGGCTGAACGTCATGCCTCACTGCACCTGTAGTCTGGTTCTGTCCCAGGGGCAAGGGGGACTCACCCCCACTCGTGGGGCAAATCAGCGCTCGGACAAGGGATGCCGGAGATGCAGAACCGCTGGGTACCTCTCCGACCTCCTCCTCCTCCTCCTCCAACTCAGGAGACTCCAGGCATACTTGGCGATGACAGTGACCAACTTCATTCAGGGCACCCCGGGGGCCAGGCACACAGCAAGATGGTCAGGGGTGCACAGAAAACCAAATTTGACCCCCAACATGACACGGTCCCCCAGGACCTGCTGTGTGTAGTTTTGTAAGCCCCTGAACACCACTGGGGTAGCCCCAGGGCGTGAGCAGCACCGCTGGGCCTGAGCCCTCCACTGTCTGGGCCACCTGACGGCTGGTCAAGGGTCACCAGGAAAGACCCCCCCGAGCACCCCTCGAAGGTGATCTCAGAGCTTTTCCTTCTGAGGGG